TTCCCTTGAAACAAACTTTGTCTCTCTTGAGACAGTTTCCCTTGAAACAAAATTTTGTCTCCCTTAAGACAGTTTCTCTTGAAACATAAACATTGAAAACATTTCCCTTGAAATGAGTTTTTTCTCTCTTGAGATAGTTTCCCTTGAAACAAAATTTCGTCTCCATTGAGACAGTTTCTCTTGAAACATAAACATTGGAAACATTTCCCTTGAAATGAATTTTGTCTCTCTTGAGATAGTTTCCCTTGAAACAAAATTTTGTCTCCCTTGAGACAGTTTCTCTTGAAACATAAACATTGAAAACATTTCCCTTGAAATGAATTTTGTCTCTCTTGAGATAGTTTCCCTTGAAACAAAATTTTGTTCTCCCTTGAGACAGTTTCTCTTGAAACATAAACATTGGAAACATTTCCCTTGAAATGAATTTTGTCTCTCTTGAGATAGTTTCCCTTGAAACAAAATTTTGTCTCCCTTGAGACAGTTTCTCCTGAAACATAAACATTGAAAACATTTCCCTTGAAATGAATTTCGTCTCTCTTGAGATAATTTCCCTTGAAACAAATTTTGTCTCCCTTGAGACAGTTTCTCTTAAAACACAAAACCTTTGAGATTGTTTCCCTCGAAACAAATTTTGTCTCCCATGAGACAGTTTCTCTTGAAACACAAAATCTTTGAATTTATCTCCCTTAAAACAAAATTTCGTTTCTCATGAAACAACAGATATCTTTGAAATCGTTTCCCTTGAAACGAATTATATCGCTTTTGAGGCAATTTCTCTTGAAGCATCATCTTTGAATATGTTTTCCTTGGAACTAATTTCATCTCCCCGTGAGACAATTTCTTTTGGAACTAAGTTTTGTCTCTCTTGAGACAGTTTTTCTTAAAACAAAATTTTGTCTCCCTTAAGACCGTTTCCCTTAAAGCAACAAATATCTTTGAGATCGTTTCCCTTGAAACGAGTTCTGTCTCTTTTGAGACAATTTCTCTTGAAGCATCATCTGAATCGTTACACTCAGCTCAGGCACATATTTGGGATAGCATTTCTCAAATCAAAAATAGAATGTGCACATCAGATTTGAACATTTGAAGAATTTGAGACCATGATCAGAACTTGAAGATTCCAGAGCCAAGATTCCAGAAAAACAACCGGAGATCGAGATTTCTCTCCTGAGCCCAAAAATAACATATGTTGCATATGCATTTTAGGCATACCTAAGAGCATTGCATCCATCTCATCACATATATGCATAACTTTTTCAGGTTTTAGCTAGAGTCAAGTTCAACTTCACAACGAAGGGACGTCTGGTTGCCAACAACAATTTCCCAATTTCAGAACCGATTTCAACTCCACGACGGAGGATATCGTGCTACCCAAGACAACACAAGTTCAACTTCACAACGAAGGGACGGTTGGTTGTCAACGAACAACTTCCCAATTCCAGAACCGATTTCAACTCCACGACGGAGGATATCGTGCTACCCGAGAAAACACAAGTCCAACTTCACAACGAAGGGACGACTGGTTGTCAATGAACAACTTTTCAGTTTCATCCGCGATTTCAACTCCACGACGGAGGATATCGTGCCACTCGAGACAACACAAGTTCAACTTCACAATGAAGGGACAGCTGGTTGTCAACAAACATTTTTCAAATTTCAGAGCCAATTTCAACTTCACAGCGAAGGATATTGGACTCGAGACAACACAAGTTCAACTTCACAACGAAGGGACGGCTGATTGTCAACAAGATTTCGTTCAGAGTCAATTTCAACTTCACAGCGAAATATATTAGACTCGAGACAGCACAAGCTCAACTTCACAGCGAAGGGGCGGCTGACTGTCATCAAACAATTTCCCGATTCCAGAACCAATTTCAACTTCACAGCGGAGGATATTGGACTCGGAACAATATTTGGATTTCAACTTCATGGCGAAGGATATCCAATTCTCAGGCTCAACTTCACGGCGAAGGGGCCCTGTACGATTCCAATTTCACAAACAGATTGACCCAACTTCACGACGAATGAGTCATCTGTAACGCATCAACACTGAAGTCTTCAGGTCAAGTTTCACCTTCACGATGAAGTATCTTGATCCAGAAGACGATTCAAAGGCCACTCGCCAAAAGCTTTGAGTTCGATTCCAACTTCACGACGAAGGATATAGTGCTCAGAAGTTTCAAGATGAACTCGACTTCACGATGGAGGAGTCATCCGTAACTCAATTCGACAGGGAGTTATTGAAACATCAGAGTTAATTTTCAACTCCACTGAACGAAAAGTGTGTCTTTTAATCTTTGCCCTATCCCCGTTACACGACTATGGGCAAAGAGGGGCAGCTGTCAACACACATTTTTCGTCCTACTAGGATTCAAACTCCTAAAAATAGGATAGAATTTTAGGATTCAAACTCCTAAAGATATGATAGAATTTTGCTAGGATTCAAAAAATATGATAGAATTTTATGATTTAAACTCCTAAAGATAGGATCCACAAGCACTATAAATAGCCATTGTAACTCGCCATTGTAAGACACGATTTACACACAAAAACATAGAGGAAAGCACGGAAAGATACAAAGGCAAAACTATTGTAAAGGATTCGAAAAGGAAACAAAAGGTAGCATTTTCTTTTTTCTTTCTTTTGCATGTGCACGTTATTTTTCTTGAAATTTGGTTCGAATAACCCAAAACGTAGGTTGCGCCGATGACCAAAACGGGTGGGGTTTCGAAGTTTCGAACCTAGATCTACCCCGAGGCTTATTTTTAAAAACTGGTTTGATTTTCGGTTAAAGGAGGGGAAGAGCTTTTTAAAAATCTATATTAGTCCCTTTATTTATTATATGGATATTTTATTCATTTATTTTTATTATTCATGTTATTATTATTATATGTATATATATATATATAAATTATTTTCATTTATTTTTTACTATATTTTACTATTATATATATATATATATTTCTTTAATATTTTACTTATAAGTCTAATATTACTATCTATATATATTGTAATTATCTTTATCTAGTCATATATATTTTTATACTTTTAATAGTTTATTTATATACCTATTATTAATATATATATTCTTAATTATTTTTATTTGATTATTTTTTTATTTACGTAATATATCTTATAACTTTATATATATATTTTTTATTATTTTCGTTTTTTTATTTATTATTATTATATTATTTTTTAAAAAACCTTGTGTCTTTATCATTATTATTATTAAACATTATATTATATACTACTAACCTAGAGGGTCCATTTTTTGTCTTATTTCTTACTAAAGCCCCCACTTTCGGTGAATTGAGAGGGTATATTTTCTATTTTTAAGTATTTGGTGTACATATATAGCTTATTTATTTTATTAATACTTTGATATATATATATATATTTATATTTTTCCTTTTTTCAAATATTACTATATACAATTATTACTTTACTATTTTTTTTTCTTATCTTACTTATTTATTTTATTTTTCCCTTGTATCTTATTTGTTTTCTTTACCTTTTTTATCTAACACATTTCTCGATTTTTTTTTCAATCAATCAAGGGTAAGTAATTAGGATCGAAACTTTACTTTTTAATTTAACTTGTCATTTTTCTTAATTAAGACAACTGGAAATTACGTAGTACCGAAAGGGCGGTTCAAGGGTGCTAATCCTTCCTTGACCGTAACCGACTCCCGAGCCCGACATATTTCTGGTAAGACGCAGATCAGGTAAGAAATAGGGTATCCGATCAACCCATTTATTTTTAAATAAATGATCGGTGGCGACTCCAATCTACATTTTTTAAGTCGAAGCCCAATTCTGGGGCCCAACCGAAAGACGGTTGCGACACATGGCCATGGCCTTAAATCTTCACTTCAAATCAAAATCAATACCAAATGGGTTGTCAAATTTCTCACAGTTTTTGGAGGTTCCATTTGTTTGCATGCTTTTGCCTTCCTTCTTTAATGCTACCACCACCTTCTACTCTTACTACTATTTATTTCTAGTTACATCCAAATGATTTTAATTCCAAATTTGATCATTTAAATTTTGAACTTCTCATATAATTTACAATCATATTGTTTCAGATTTTATTTACTTACTCATAATATTTTAAATATAAATTGTTTAGATATCATATTATTCATGTTCGAGTCGAGTTTTTCAAATTTAATTATTACAAGTTTGAATCACGTCGTTGTTTTATCATTATAAGTCATATTAAGATCGATTTGTTCTGCATTAAATCGTTTTAAGATCATATCAAAGTTGGTTGAAGTTAATTTAAGTTTGAATCAAACAAATTTGAAATTCGAACTATAGTTTTTTTTTAACAGTCTACTTAAATCCTAATTTGTGATTAGGTTAAACTGTATTATAAATTTAGTAGCGGAAGATTACTCGATGATTAAGAATTTTTATTTAAGTAAAAAGTTCTATGAACATATAGAATAGGTTCTGACTTTTACAATTACGAGAGAAAATTATTTTAGATAGATTTTTGTATCTCTTAAACTATTAAAGTTTATAGGAGAAATATTATTTTCAGTCGAAAACTAACCTTAGAAATTGTCCTTAATATTTGTTTAAATAATTGTATTGATCTGAATTAATCTAGTAATTGATTAAATATAGGTGATTATATGAAAATATATATATAGATTTAGATTAAAGGTTTGAAATTTGGGATCAAAGATTGAGACATCAACACCGAAATATCAACTACCGGACCCCTGAGGGCACCGCCTAGTGCTAAAAAAAGTCGCCAACTTTGCCTGTATTTTCCGGAATTCTTCACGTGCATCCCGATTCCATGCACCTCAAATCAGCCACCTGTCCCGAATCGCCACCCCTTGCGACCAGATGTTTACGCCTAGTTAAAAGAACAGCACCACAAGCTTCGAACACATGGCCCTTTCTTTTTCTCCAAGTTACTTCAATTTCATTCATGCCTAAACCTGGATTATCCGATTAATCATGGAAAAATAGCACGCGAAAAGTAAAATAAGAAAGGCTTTAATTTTGTTATCTTACAAACAAAATCAGGGGAACAGAGGTAATTGTCTAAAATTTCAAGCTTGTTCCGGGGAGGGAAGAGGGAAGCAAGTGTCTTCCCCGCCGGTGTTCCATAGGAAATGAGCATAATTGGCGGCGTAATAAGAGTTGGTTGGATCTACCGACATGGCTTCCAAGAATGTTTCCTCCGCCGCCCACAAATCATTCCTCGCCTTCCATAAAAAACTCGCGTATTTACTGTATGCTTCCGCATCCGCTGGCTCCACCCCTATTGCTTTCTTGAAGTACTCTTCCGCTCTGCGTTTTTTCAATACCAAAAAACAAAGGGGGGTAATTACGATTTTTACCATCTCAACCTTATGAACCACACACATGAAAAATTTATTTCGTTCAACAAAATGCCAAAGAAATAGATATTATAGCAATTTTTGATTCAGATGCTCAGTGATCAGTTAAAAACTATAAATTTTTTTTTGGGGGGGGGGATTAAGTAATACTAAATTATACTAATGAAATTGAAAGAGTAGATGACAAAGATTCTGTACCTGTCGTAATCATGTGCAACAAGGTAGAGAAACTGAGCATAATTGGCAAGGAGGACGGCGTTATTAGGCTCTCGTGACAACTCCGTTTGATAAAGCAGCTCCGTTCTGAAATAGTCTTCATGATCACCGTCCGGTTCGATTATTGCCGTCACCGGCGATACAAATCTCCCAACTGTTTCATGATCCACCGTTTCGTCTCTCACTGAAGCTATCATTTTCGAAGCTTCGTCCACCATCGAGTTCCAAAGAGTGAGCTCTTCTTCTCTGCTGCCCTCTTTCGTTGAATCTCTCTGTGTTTCCCCTGTTGTTCCTGGAGATGACAAGCCATCGGGAAAGATGGTACTGAATTGGTCGGCTTTGTTAAACCATCCATCGTCGTCTGTTCCGCTGGCGACCGGTCGGACTTTCCCGCCTCCGCCACTGTTTCCGCCAATTGATATGGTTTTACCGCTCGATGACGATAGCGAAAACGACTTTATCGACGAAGAATCTAACTTGGAATACTTCTGATCTTGGACATTTACCGTGGAAACATAAGTCCCCGTCGTTGGATTCGCGGCGTTGCTTCCCATGGAATGAACTGAATAATTGGCTAACATGATCATCACGTAAACCATTAAAGTGGGTGTGTGAGAAAAAACCTGTTGAAACAACCAAACGAACGAAGCGTGCATCTCTTTTTGAACTCTAACGAGAATCCCTTGTAAATCCTCGTAATACAAAGGTTCTCGCATATGCAAAGTGTAACTATGAAGCTCTCGGATTATGAAAACCATCGAAGAAAACGCCTTTTTAATTGAACAATAAGCTGATTCCCCCGGCTCTCGGAACCCTTCTTGCCATTGTAATTTCCTCTTAATCATTCGCAGGGAAAGCGGAAGATCCACGCTGTTGGCTTTACGTTCTATGCTTGATGAGGCCATTTCTTCCCCTCTTTCCTCCCACAATGATTGTTCGTTGAATCCCAAAGATTCCAGTACGGAATCGGAATCGAAAACGGATTCTCTTTCCCGTTCGGAATCTCGATCATTCCCGTTACTTGTGCTGCTAGCGGTTCCATCATTGTCCGATAATTGGAATCTGAATACCAATTCTTGAATTTTTTTTGAAAATTCTTCATCGGAGGAGTCTAAGCTTGCACTGCAGGCTCGTCGTGAAGTTCCAGATCTAGGTTTCTCCCGGGACCGTTGGATGAAGGTTGAGTTTGTAACGAAGAGAGCCGACCGGTTGAATCTTAGAACGGTCTTGAGATTAAGAACGCTGCCGTAACGGCAACGCCTCGGAAGGGAAGGCGAAGAGACTGCCGATGCTAAAGCTTGGGAAGAAGATGGTGGCTGGGACCATTGTAAACGCGCCGCCGTTTCCGCAACTTTCACTACCATTTGTTGAAGCTGTTGAAAAGCTTTCAGGGGAAAGATAGAACTTTCTATTACAGATGGGAATCTCCACAGTAAGCTTTATCCTTGGCAATAACCTGGAGATTTATTAAAAAGCGAAAACAAAGAATTTCTTAGAAATCACTCACCTGAAACTGAAATGGAAAACACTTTCCAAAGGAAGAATTCCTCTAACTGAGATCTATAAACCACATTTGCTACCACGGAAATCGGATCTCTAAACTCGAAAACAGTGAAATTCGAGGCTTCCTACGAAATTATTAAACAATTCTTCATTTTTTAATAAAAAAATAACTTACTTAGATTGCCTTTTAGTACGGGTTTCGCTAAAAGTGGGGGGAAAACTATATTTCAGCCGTCCGATTAGAAGCACCGGCGAAGCTTGAAATGGAAGCTTATTGGAAGAGAGAGAGAATTTCAAGGCGCTTCTTTACCCAGACACAGCTCCTTGATTTCTTAAAGAAAAAAAATGCATTTTTGAATAAATAAAAATGTAATTTTATAAAAGAAAAAAAATATCTAACCGGCTAAGCCGGTTACGAATTATGGCCTATGATCAGAATCCACAATCTGTTCGATGGAGATATCCGGTCACGGGTTGCTTAATCATTTTTTTTTTTGGATAAATTGATTTTATTATCCAATGAACCAAAGTCTGATACATGCTCAAAATCCCAATCACCGATTACACCCCTAAATAATTACAACTTACAAACAAAAAGAATGATCGGTTAACCTATACTTCAAGTATTACAAAATTGAATATTAACACAATCTAAACGGGTAATTTTCCTTCCTCTAAGTTGAATCCCTATTATCTCTTTGATAGCTTTAAAAATATCTTCCGGAGATCTGAAGCAACCTTGAAAAATTTGTTTGTTTCGTTCCTCTCATATGGTGTAGATAAATGCGTACCACGAAAGTTTAAGGAAAGTGGTTAGCAGGGATTTACCTCTCTATGATTCACAAGTTTGCACAATCATGTCCTCCCAATATTGAGAAGACTTCCTCAGTCTAGTATGAAGCAGCACTTGATTTCATACATGAGAAGTCAAATAGCAATAAAAAACAAATGATCTCTAGTTTCAATTGCTTCATTACAAAAACAACAGTTCGCATCATTAATAATACCCATTCGTTGTAAACGAGCTCTAGTGGGAAGTCTATCCAACAAAGTCATCAATGCAATCATGCTATGTTTAGGTATATGTAAAGGAAACCATACCAATTTATGCCAAGGGGACTTGTCTCATTTCTCCCTAATTTCCTCCCAAATTGATCGGATATTTTGAGATCCAGTAGCAAAGACAGCAGTAGCTTCTGTTCTTGCTTTTAGAATATGGTTTAAGCACCAGCTGTAGGAAGTGTTAACTTCAATTTGCCAGAAATCTCTATCCTTTAGAACATTAGCTTTGATCTAGGCAACCCACATTGAACCTTCTCCAGCAAGATCTATTCCGGCTTTTTAAATTTTTCAAACCGAGCCCTCTTTCATACTTCGTTTGACATATTTTAGACCATTTAACTCTTGCACCAACAGCTGATTTATCATATCCTTTCCAAAAACAACCTGAAGCATAGTTGTTCGATCTTGGTAATGATAGCTTGAGGTAAAACTACTTGTCTACACCAATAGTTTGCAACATTGAAGAGAAATGCCTTGATGAGTTCCAATCGACCAGTGCTGAAAACATTTTGATGTTTCGATATAACAAATTAAATTAAAAGAATTTTAATTTTGAAAATGATTTTTCTAAGCATATTCGATATATTAAATCGAATATCAAAATATTACTCAAAGTATTTCAAAGTTCATTTTAAATCCTTAGTAAAGTGTAAAATTAAGTTTTAATCTTAAAATAATTTCAAAACAATTTTACAAAGTATTTCGAACCGTTTCAAAGCCAAAAATTATAGTTTGTCCAGAGGGAACCGATTCCCCTTGAATGGTTTTGCTCCGAGAAATTCCAGTATGCTCGGAGGGAATCGATTCCCCCCAAGAGGTATCGATTCCCCCCTGTTCAACGGTTGAATATTTGAATTTTACACTTAGGTAACCGATTCCCTAGGAGGGGGTACTGATTCCCCCCACGCTCCAAGCAAAAATATTAATTGTTTTCACACTTAAACGGCTCCAATAACTTCATTAACGATCCCAAATGTTCAGAAGTGATTCAAGGTGTATTTAAACAAGCTTAGAAGCCATTGATCAAAAACAAGAAACAACAAGCAACTAGAATCAAGAGAGAATCAAAGAGAAAGCATCAAACCTCAAGTTTGTGCATTTCAAGCCTATTTTTCATTCAATATTCATTTTGCTTTCAAGAACACTACTTGCACTCATATTCATTCTTGAGTGTTATTTTCTTTGTTCTAGAATTGTGCAAACAATCTACCTTGTGAGGATTTCCTTGTAAGTTTGCAAATTTATAATCTTCTCTTTGGAAAAGAGTATTCTCAAGAATTGGGGTATATTCTTGAGGGTGTTGTAAGGTTATCTCTTTGGCCTCAAAAGAAAGAACAAATTAGTGAATTTTTTGGAAAATCCTTAGTGTGGATAGCTAAGGTAGTGGACGTAGACTTTGATTGAGAAAGTCGAATCACTCTAAATTGTTGTGCAATTACTTTTAATTTTCTACAAAAGCTTTCACAAATTTTTAATTACCAATTCACCCCCTCTTGGCCGATTCCGTCAATCGATTAACTCAACAATTGGCATCAGAGCCTAACTCATTTGAAGGTTTAATCGCCTCTTGAGTCGATTCGGGAAGAGTTACATCGATAATCAAAGTCATCAATGGCCTCTACTTCAAACTTCGACTCTGGTCTCGATTCGATGCCCGTCAACAAGCCTCCTTTCTTCAATGGGGATAACTATGCCTATTAGAAAAATAGGATGATGTACTTCATTCAAGCAAGTGACATGGGAGCATGGAATACCGTAGAAGAAGGATACATAAAGCCTCTCACTCATCCAAGATTGTGGAGTGAAGGAGAGACAAGAATGTTCCAGCTCAACTCCAAAGCCATCCATATCATATTTTGTGCTCTTGGACCAGATGAATATGGAAGTGTTTCATCTTGTACAACAGCTAAAGAAATATGGGACAAACTTCAAGTCACTCATGAAGGTACCGATGAGGTAAAGAAATCTAAAATTAGTATTCTAACGCATAGCTATGAAAATTTCAGGATGAAACCAAATGAAGATATCAAAGCTATGACGGATAGATTTTCAACGATTATCAATGGTCTCAAATCATATGGAGAGATCATTTCAAATGAAAAGCTTGTGAGGAAGTTAGTCTACTCCCTTCCAAAATCGTGGCAATCAAAGAAGACGGCAATCATCGAGTCTAAGGACCTAACGTCCTTAACTCTTGAAGAACTAATCGATTCCCTTCTCACTCATGAAATGATGCTTGAAGATGAAGTGGACCTCGATAAGATTAACAAGACACCAAAGAAAAAGGAGAAGAAGAAAAATATTGGAGTTGCTCTCAAATCCATAAAAGATAAGAGTGATTCGAATGAGGATGATGATGACGAGGAAATGGCAATATTTTCCAAACGATTCAGAAAGTTGATGATGCCCAACCGAGGAAGAAAATTCAAACGTCATGAAGGCTTCAAAACTGAATCGAAGGAGAGAGACATCATTTGCTATGAATGCAAAAAGCCGGGGCATGTCAAATATGATTACCCACAATTGAAGAAAAATGGTCAATCCAAAAAGAAGCACAAGGCTCATGTAGCTACATGGAGCGATGAAGAAGGTTCCGATGAAGAGGAACAAGAAGTTGCAAACTTGTGCTTGATGGCTATCGGGGAAGATTCTAAGGTAACCTCTAACTCATTCGATTTGGATAAATTATCTTATGATGAGTTATTAGAGGATTATAATGGGTTGGCTTCGTATTATAAAACTCTATTTTCAAAATACAAAAATGATATTTCAAAATTGAAAAACGAAAATAGTCTTATATCCAAGATCAACAATGAGCTTGAAAGTAAGATCAAAGAATTGCAAATCAAAATTAATGATTTTGAAAAGAAAAATACTGATTTGCATAACTTACTTTCAAAAGTTCATGATGATCATCAAAAGAAGATTGATGATCTTAAAACTTCTTTTAATAAGGTTAGAACAAAAAGTTTTGAAAAATGTGAGAATTCAAAATCCAACTTTGTTAAGAAAAGTTTTAGAAGCTACAATCATAGAAGTCCTCAACGAACCTTGAATGGTAAAATTATTAGGAGTATATGGGTTCCTAAAGAATTCATTACTACTAAAGATAATGATGTCCTTCATAAATGGATACCAAAGGGGACAAGGATTTTAGAAACTAATGAATATGGACCCAAAAGAATTTGGGTACCAAAAATTAGAAATTAATCCATGTTTGTAGGAAAAGAAGCATTGCTACAAGGCATGGGAAACAAATCCAAATTCATGGTACCTTGATAGTGGATGCTCGAGACACATGACCGGAGACAAAAGCCGGTTCATAGAGCTTAACGCCAAAATAGAGGAGAAGTGACTTTTGGTGATAATTCAAAAGGTCACATTGAAGGTAATGGTACTATAGGTAATACCTCTTCCATACAAATTAAAAATTTGTTATATGTGAATGGATTAAAGCATAATCTATTGAGTATTAGTCAATTATGCGATAAGGGATTCAATGTCATGTTTGAAATTAGTGGTTGTAAAGTCATTGAAATTGCATCTAATCGGGTTATGCTTGTTGGTCATAGAATAAGAAACATATACATGGTGCATTTAGATTCTATTAATATGACTAATTTGTGCCTAGTTGCTAAGGATGAGCATGATAGTTGGTTAATGCATAGGAGACTAGGACATGCTAGCATGAGTGTTTTGCAACGGTTAGTTAAAGGAGAATTGGTTCGAGGGCTGCCTAAACTAAAATTTGATAATGATAAAATCTGTGATGCTTGTGTTAAAGGAAAACAAAAGCGAGTTTCTTTTAAATCCATTAATGATGTGTCAACTAGTAGAGTATTACAATTGATCCATATAAATCTTTTTGGGCCAACTAGGACTACTAGCTTGGGTGGAAAACAATATGCATTTGTCTTGGTAGATGACTATTCTAGATATACTTGGGTTCTATTTTTAAGTACTAAAGATGAAGCATTAGAAAATTTCATCACATTTTCAAAAGTAATCCAAAACGAAAAAGGTTACTCTATCACTAGTGTTAGAAGTGATCATGGCACTGAATTTGAAAATCTTAGATTTAATGAGTTTTGTAATTCTAATGGTATTAGCCATAATTTTTCAGCACCTAGAACCCCTCAACAAAATGGAGTTGTTGAGAGGAAAAATCAAACTTTAGAAGAAATGGCTAAAACCATGCTTTGTGAAAATAATTTTCCAAAATATTTTTGGGCAGAAGCCACAAATATC